AATACTTCACTTTTAATCCTGTTTTAAACAGAAAACTTTATGGGAAATGAAAAAAACCTTTTAGTTGATTGAATATAGTAATAATCTTATCTGGAGAATGAAACGGCACCTTCAGATTGTTTTTATATAAAAGCTATTTGTAGCAAAAAAATAGAAGCATCTATAAAACCACGGTCAGAAGAAATACGTGCCAGACCATTAATATAAAATGCAAAATATTAGACTGCCTGGTCTTCAGAACATGGGAGAACTAATAATGGGCTTTCGTTGGAAATGCAGATGTCAGCTGCGGGTGCCTTGAATTGTCAATAATAATGTTAAACACAGGGTAGAATATCAGCCTGAGCTTATTCTTTATTCTTCTCTCAAAATCATTAAAGCTAAGACAGTTGTGACATATGTTCCGCTATGGCTCGATAACTGAAGACGTGCATGGAACGTATATGCGCGTATGTACTGAATTATTCATGTCTAAGTTGCTGCTCTGGGGAAGCAAATGGAGAGCGCTTTTCTGGCAGGTAGACTTTGAACCATATCTCATGGAGGAGGAGAATAAATATTCTCAGTTTATCCTGGCCAAAGCTAGTTATCAGCTGTGTACACAGGCCCAGGCATTATTTTTCTTTTTACTATAGCCGCATTGGGCAAAAGCCAGATAAATATCAAATTCTAAGAGAAAGTACTTTTATGGGATTTAGCACCTACATACCCCATTTTGTTATCTCTACTGCATTCGTCTAGGTAAAGGACTTTCCATGTAAGTCTCACTGAACTTACTGAGCTGTAGCCCCAAGGTCAACCTTAGAGGCAGGGGAAGGGAGACTTAAACCTGGAGGGTGGTGGTTCTACTCTCAGGGGTACCTTTCTCCATGCGGAGAGAGAGGGAACTGAGGCAGGGTGTGCAGCAGAAATCCCGTTACCCTCTTACACCCATCTCAACAATTCCTGCCATCTTCCTGTATTTAATAACCTGGGACTTAAGTTACTTACCAGCCTTTGTAGCCCTATCAATGTGAGGTAGTGACTTCAACATGGAGGTCTCTGTGAACTGGTGGAGGGCAGGAGATACAGCAGGGGAACAGGCTGATGCTTGACCAAATTCAGTCTGTCAGCACCCATCTGGAGGAATGTTATTGGAACTGTGATTTTTTTAAAATTTTTTTTTAGCTCCTTTCAGCAAATAATTTGCCTTCCCCCACCCCCTCAAGACAGTGGATATTAAATGAGCTGCAGACCCAGTTTTTTAGTATTTTTAAACATGTGTTGCTTTTGTGGTACACTAGGTTATTATGTGACTTTTTGTGGATGGGTTCTGTTGGGAAGTTAATTTGAAATATTGTGAGTTTAAATTTAGAAATGTTGATTCCTGGGTGGATTTCCAAGCTTTGTAGAATTCTCGTTTTACATTCTGAGGATGTGTGGAGGATTGTGTTTAAAATCAAAACAATATTTTCAGTTATCACATCTATTGCAAGCCCACTTCATGCCATGACCTCTTAGTGCAACGCACAAAGTTTCAACAGGTGAAGGAAATCCAGCTGCTCGAGGAAGAGGTGTTGATTCAACAGATCACTCCTCTCTTGAAGCTTGTCTAAAAGATACTTCGCTTCAGGATACATTTTAATTACTATGAGGGGGAAGTGTAACTTTCTAGCATAGATAGGAAACACATGCTACTTGTTAATTTTGTTTATCCTTTGCTAACAAACTTATTTTAGGTTAGAAAAGTCTAGAACAGAAATTATCATGCAATGCACTCCAGTAACTATGCTGTTAGGCAGCGGTGATCCTCACCCTTTTCAGACAAGTAAAAACTTACATATTGAAATAAAATCTCAGACATCTGAATGCTTAAATTAATGAAACATCTATACTACCTAAAAACATACTCGTGTTTGTTGCCTTGGTTTAGATTATACATGCATCAATGTTTTGTTTTTGGACAACTTTTAAGTGTGTGCTTTATATACTACATAATCTCTTCCTATTTTTGTCAAGGTCTGCAAATTATTTATTGCAGCCTACGTTACCCTCCTACTTATTTGCTAAAATCTAGGATTTTACTACTTAAAAGTTTTGGATCTGTCTGGCATAAATACATTGTATATTAGCGACATTTTTTGTAATTATAGCAGGTGTCTTATAACAAAGAAAAAGCCCTCCTCCTCCAGTATTGCTTTTATTCAGTATGTCCTTGATTTAAATTCAATGTTATGTTAATTTTCTTAATGCTAATGTCCTTTGCTTTTGGGGGAATGAAATATTCCTTATCTACTTCATCAGTCAAGTAAACTAAGAAGTTGCTTGGCAGTGTTATCTGTGTTTCCTCATCTCAAAATCTTATGTCAGCCTAGCTCTGACCTTTATATGATGGAACCTAGTGGTAATATACACTTCTGTTTAACAGGATTTGAAATAAAAATATATGATGGCAGAGCTGCAGGAAATAATTAGTTCCAAGTGGATGTGAGAAGTGAAAGGATTATTTAAAGGAAAAGAAAGTGATTCAGCTGGTTTATGGTGCAGATAAATTTAAATAATTATTTAAATTTAATAATTTAAAAATTATTAAACTTTTAATAATAGTTTCATTAAAAGATGAAACTCAGCTTTTAATTTAACTATTAAGGGGTTGAAATAAATTTAAGTCATTATGCAAAAGCATTTTTGAATGAACTGTTGTAAAGACGCTCTCTAAATAACTTTAAGGCTTATTGGAACCTCAAATATTTGAAATGTTAATTAGTTCCTTTGCTGAGTGGAAAAGCTACTGTAGGGAAGAGAGCATGTGCAGTAGAGCTTGCTGAAACTTACCCAGAGAACAGTTTATGGTGTTCTTGGAAATAATAAAAAAACTTGTATACACATTTCCCAGGAAATTCTTCAATCAATTCTTCAGTCAGTTGTTACAAAGGTCAAGATGTGTTTTCTATGTTTTAATTAGATATACAAACCAGGACAAGCTCAATCACTGTATAGATGAGTTCTCAAGTATGCTGTACATGGGGGAAGAAAGAAAGAAAGAATGATTGTTCAGAATTTTGTGTATGGCCCTTAAAAATCTGTAGCTCATGCAGCCATGTTCTGCAATGAATGAATAAAGAATGAGCCACTTTCTTGCCTCTCGGATTTTCCCATGCTCTTAATTTTTTATTAATTTGAATGTCTTTTTCCTAATAACACCTCCATATATGAAAGGTAAGCAATGGTGAAGGCAAAGTTAACAGTTAAATAGGCTTTCTTCTTCTTCACAAGCATGGATCAACAACCAGAGATTAGGGGATATTTCACCCATGTTGTCACTGGCTTTGTGCAGAATGTGCTTCCCCACCAAGTGATGGTGGCTGTGCTGTCTCTCCTCATATAGATTGAAGCCAGACTTGTAAGAAAGTGGTTGTGAATTATATGTGGTATGGGAGCAATGCATGGTTCTTAAAGCTGTTGTAATGAAGAATTGAGGACTTTTGATAGAGATCTAGTAAGGATCTAATGCTAGGAAAGAAATGTAAGAGAAACTTAATGCCCCTTTGGGAGCAGGAAATGCAGAAGGTTGTGGTGAAAGCCAGGATGAGTTTAGAAAGAACTTGATTAAACTCATGCTGGTCTGAAATTGTCAGTCTATTTTTCTGCTAATTAAAATAGCTGTTCAGATACTACTTATTCTATCTCTTACATTTGTATGTGTTATGAGGATGTCATTTTGCCATTTGTTTCCTTTGCATTCTTTCAGATTGAACAGTTCTGATTCTCTTTGATTCATGATAGAGCGGGGCTTTTCCCCTTTTAGATTCTTTTATCATTTCTCTTTTAGCTGTGTTTAGTATAGGAAATACCTGGTTGCTGGTTCACCTGCTCATCTGTTCCACTGCCATTGATGATTGGAGTCCCATGTCTTCCCAGTTGCCTGTGCTCATTTCTTTCAAATTTTGAAAAATTTTGGTTTTGAAGCCAAAGCTCTGTGAGCTTATTCTCGGTGGACTATGAAAGGGATGGTTTTAGAAAAAAATGTTTTCATGTGAATGGGGTGGCAAAATGGGGGATGATCTCATGTAAATAGCTTCTAATGCTGTATCATGCTTGTAACAATGCAAATCTCAGTTTTGTGGCTTATTGCTATGAAAGTTTCTGATTGAAGCTTACTTTAGAATTTCTAAGTTGGCAGTTGCTTATTTTCTCTCAGTGATATCCACAGTGTGTTCTCCTCACTATCTAGTGCTCAAAATATAACAAGCTCCATTACAAGCAATTACTAATCTGACAAATGCACATTTTGAACGCTCATACTGATCTGGTGCGATGCACCAGATATATAAAGAGCAATGTAAAGCTGCTGTTTTATTTCAGGTCTTGAAAGGTCAGAGTACACTACTGAGATTTAGAGAAGGGCGTTTACTACCTTTTTGTGACCGAGCCATCACATATCTTGCAGGTTTTTGCAGCCACTGTTTATTGGCCCTTTTTGCAGCCACTCTTTATTGGCCCATTTTCCAGCTGCAGCTATGTTTTTCTCTTTTCTAACACAAAAGCGAACATTTATATAGTTAATGCTTCTTTCAAGGCATCAATATAGTACATTTAAAGCAATGAGTTTTCTTAACTGTGTGAATAGCATTGTGGCATTGTCATTAAAACTGCTATGAACAAAATGAGCTAAATGACTTTGGAGGAAAACAACGTGCAAAAAGTATGTAGCTGCTATATCCAAAGCTATAATTAGGGAATATTTAAATTATTTTGCTTAACTTTAAAGGTCTTTAGGTATTTAACTCGTATATGCTTGAATACGTATTACAGATTTTTTATCTTTCTATGAACTTTGATTTGATGAAACCTCTTATAGCATGAGACAAATGCTTGAAAACCAAGTATTTGGCAAAAACGTAGTGATTTGATAACATTTTTATATATCTGTATGATTTTAAATATTGTGTAAGGAAAATCAACTGTTCAAATAATTTAATGACTGTTTAGTTTTAATACTGATTTTTGTAACATGGCAGGGACAGCCCGTTGGAGACTGTGATTTTAACGTTCGACTTGCATGTATAGAGAAAGAGATTATATTTCCACGACATGAAAAGATGAAAAATGGTCTTATCGATAAAGCACAGGAACCATTCAGTGTTCGAAACAAACCGTTTTTCGACATCTACACTTCAAGAAAGGTAAACTTGATCGCAGTTATTTATGCTGTGGTGCTGATGGTAGTAAAACAATGTTGCATATAGATTTTCCCTCACCTTTTTTAGCTTCCAGCAATTTCTTCTGTGAACTGAGCATTTGGCAGCGTTTGGGGGGGTGATTGGCAGTTTGAGATACTCTGAAAAAATGGTTTTAGGCTACCTATTCCTTCTGAATTACTATTTTCCCATATTTAAAACCTGTACTTTGGTAAAACCTAATTCTTTAGTTTTGTAATGTTGAATGATGATACAGAAGTTAATAGCTTTAGGTCTGAAATGTCTCTGAGCTCAAGGGAATGTCTGAGAGCTATGTTATTTACACTATCCTCTTTCATAGGTAAGAATGTAATTTCCTTTTTACTTCCAGTCCCCATCTGGCCATAGTATAAGAATCATGAGTTGTGCTTGAAGTCCCACTTCATGTTCAGCAGTGATTACTAAGAGCCCATTCTAGTTAATGTCTCCAGAATTTACTTATTAAAATACTGCCCTAGGTCTTCTGAAGTAATGCATATGACTTGCAAATGCATATATGAGTTCCTGTCTTTCACTGTGCACTCTTTTCTTCAGTAGAGACATATCCTAACATTCTACAAAATACTTTTATTCTCTTCTGTGAATTAAATGGCTCCTGGATAATACCTTCTTCTAGAGGAACCCGTTTTTCTCAGCGCTGCTGTTAGAAGTAGTCCCATGTCTCATCAGCACAGAGCAATGAACATCAAATTGTGGGCTTCCATTTGGTTTTGTCATTTCCTTGATCCTGTAGCAGATAATGAATCTTGCCCCAAGAGGAGTAGTAATGGTATTTTGGCTAGCCAAGAGTGGCTGAAAAGTAAATAAGGAGATAGGGCATAAACTGGACTTTCAAAAAACCCTGGCAGAGAGTAGCAGTCTTCAGAAAGTTTAAGTCATGAACAATTCTATTTGAAGTTTGTGTGGATGTGTGGATAAAGCACTATAAATGTTTTGATCTCTTCTCTGTATTTGTGGTGGTGTATTTTTGGGTTGTCTATTTAAGATCGATGTTGTAAATTTGAAGTAAAGTATTCATGGAGGGGAAAAAGGCTGATTGTCTAGGACACATAACTTTGAGCTTGAAATGAAAAGAATCTAGAACAACAGGAACATGTCTTAAAAATGATTTCTTACATAAATTTATAGTTTCTTGAAGTGTTCTTAAGTTCCAAGTTATTTAACCTCATTTAAAAATCATGGGAAGAACATGGTTGGAAGCATTCCTAGTAAAATTTCTACATAAAACACATCTGTAAACAAATCTCATGCTAGTTAAATCTAATTGTCAGGACATGACTATTGACATGATCCTCTGCTTCCCAAAACGTAGGAAATAAAAATTATACTCAACAGCTTTCTTTTTCCTGTTTATAGGAGATTTCTGAATTGTCCATGTGCGTTCCAATGCATTGGATTTTAACAATTCTGACTGTGGCACTTTTTAAAGTCAGCAATGAAATGATGCTATTTACTGCTCTGTCTCTGCCTTTCTTAAAGCTCTGAGCATAAACTTTTTACAACATTGACTGGCTTATTACCCAGCAGTAAAACATCACTTATGTTGGTGGGGAAAAAAAATCATACATGGCTAGAATTTGTTTCATACTAGACTTATAATTGCTTTTGACACTAATGCTTGGACAGTATTTCTTTATTTTGTCCTTGTCTTTGCCACCAGGATTAACTTGTGAATTATGGAATGAAGCAGTTATTTGGTCAATTTTCTTAATTTTTGGGAAGAATATTCCTGCATCCAGCAGTTGGAGATACACACAGAGAGCAGGAGGGGTAGAGTTACTGGCAGTGCAGAGTGAATAGCCAGTGTTATTTTTCTCTTATTTTAATAATTTCAAACATTTATGATTTATCTACTCTATGCATGTATTAGATTAAATTGGTAGGAAAATAAAGCAAGTAAGAGTAATATCCGGGGTTTTATCAAACTATATGCTTTGAAGTTTTTTTTTTTGTTTTTTTGTTTTTTTTTTTTTAACTAAGCCTCTTTTTGTCTGTTAACTTCCCCCCAGTTAGAGTGAGTAAAAGTCAATTGACATAAGAGTATTTATATGCTTTTAATTTATTGGGGTGTTTGAGTTTGGTGTGGGGTTTTTTCTTGGTTGGTTGGTTTTGGGGTGTTTCTTTAAGTGGTAATCAGGGCAGATCTTCATATTCATCACAACTTCCTGAACAGAATCTTTCATTATATATGGTCAGAATAGACTATTGTTTTGAAGCATTGCCCTAGTCCAAAAGAGGCCTATTTAAAAATGGTATTGCTTTGCCCAAAAGATCTTTTTCCTACGTTTATTCAGCCATCTCTGCAACTATAGCAACAAATGTACTCATAGCAATGAATACCTCATTGGTATAGCTGAAGGAGCAAGCTGAGTTCATTTTGCATCGATGACAAATGTCTTGACAGGGTTTACCAACTCTGTGTGCAGCACAGCAAGGTCTGCAGGGGGACGAGGAATTCCTTGTAGCTTCTAAGTCTGCGCATATTCACATTGACTTAGCATATCTATCAATCCATCTCCAGACATGGTGGCAGTTGAATAGATGCTAAAGGACTGACAAATGGGACCTGCTTAGGTAGATCTTTCCCTCATGTTTAATTAGCTGTTTTTCTTGTTCTTCTCCAAGAACAGCAGGATCCTTTCATCTTTAGAAGGGATCTAACAGGATCCTTCCTTTCTTGACTAGATGTCCTTAAAGATTTACACCCTCCAGTGGCCTCAGAAAAGCTGCGCATTTTTCTTATGCATGGGTTTCTTCCCTACCTCCAGTTCTTGTATTTCACTGACAGAAGATGTAGCTTCTCAGGTCACCCTGAAGGCTTATTATTTTCAAAGAAAGATCAGTGGACATAGCAGTCTTTGGCCACAGATAAGGTGGATCTCTGATTGCACCAGCATATTCAAGACTGAAAAAGTGGAAAAACCCATACCACTGGTCAGAATGTGTTTCATTAACATTCTTGGAGTATGTCTTGAAGATTTTTTGAAGCGTAGCTGGGTTTTGCTTAGGGTCAAGAAAAGAATGAAGTGTCCTTCTGAATTACCACAGCTGGAGCCATATATCACATATTAATTTTGTTTTGAGAAACTTCTTATTGGTAATAGCACGTATCAGTAAATGTATTTTAACTTGGGTGGATCGCAGGAAGATTACTCAAAAAGACCAGGAACCTCAGCACTATATTTATATTTAAGTGGCTAAAACTTTTAATTATATCAGGAAAAACGAATGTTGTCCACATAGGTTTTGTTATTTTCAGTGAAAATGTGGAAGTAATTACTTGAAACAGCAGTAAACTTTGTATTGTGTTATATAATATGTCCAATAATGAAATTGTTCTTAGAGTTATGGATTTGGGACTTTAATACCAGGGTTAGAGTACTGGCTGTTTTGTTTTTTTTTTCCTAATCTGAAAATCGATTTATTGTGAAATGAAATGCACTTTTAAAGTGCAGCTATAAAGTATGGCAGCATTTATAGTTGTGCCTTGACATTTGTTGTTGGTACTAGATTTTGGAAATGAGGGCTATATCTTTACAATGTTATATCTTTATAACATTGTCTTGAACATTATTTTGAGATTTTTTTGATGGACTTTTTGATTTTTGAGTTTTGGTGCTAAGAAGAAGAAAAGAAAGGGACAGTCACCTGGGGACAGGTTGTATATTCTCAGAATATCTAAAAATGTTACCTTGTTGAAATTTGATATTGCTGGACAAAGGTATCGCTAAATTTGTCTGCCTCTATAATCAAAGAATCATTAAACACAGTTTGCTCTTTTAGTGTCAGCTGGGAACACGTGTACTCTGTGAGCAATTTTTGCCTTTTAATGTAACTTCTAAATTCTTTCAGAAAGATTTTTTTTTTTTTTTTTTTGAGCAATGTTGGACCTTTGCCATTTGTCATTACACTTGCATGATAGGTCACTTTTGTTGCATAGCTTGCTTTCATTTATTAGTGTGCATCAGAATTCAAGCAGATGATATGGTCAAATCCTATAGCTTTCCCACCTCTTATGTTGTCCTGGTTTCATATGTAAGTATAGCAGCAGTCTGTGGAAGAAGCTGAGTTTTAGATTTCCTTAATGCTAAAGTATTAAAGACCAGTGAGGTTAATGCTTTATATGCTGCATATTCTTAGCCTTGAAGCCTTAGCCTTTTATTTATACAAATATTTTAGGATTTTCAGCAAGGACATTATCTTCATTATACTAAACAGGAAGTACAGGTACATAGAAATAATTAAACTCTTGGAAATGATGCAAGTCTCGGCTTTCATTGCCTAAGGCAGCCCACAGTTCTTTTGCAAGGCTTTTTTGTGTGGACAGTCCCAGCTTGGATATCATCACTAAAGCCTATTGTCTAGTGAAAATGCTGTCTAGCAGGAGTAGAAAAAAAAAAAAAGTTCCTTTCCGTGCAGTCCATGGTCCCATCGAGAATTGTGCCCATCACTCTCAATGGAACAATAGGGCTAAAGGTTAAACAATGATACAGGTCAAATGAACAACCTTTTTCAAATGTTAGCACGCTGTATGTCAATGACTTGTCAGTTCTTAGACTATTATCTGGTTTTAAAATGACAGCTTGTCCTACAGGGGTTAGAATGAAGGTGGGTAATCTCCGTTGGAAGATTAAATGGTCTAGGTTCTTCTTGAAAGTTTTCAGTCAAATCTGTGAACTGACAGATGACTTATTTTGCTCTCCTGTTTATTTGGCATTTGGATTTTTATTTTTTTTAAACTGCTTTTGTTGTAATTAGGAAAGGAGGACTGTTTAAAAGTTTGTACCAATGAATGTACAGCTACTGTTGAGGTGGTTTGCTTTGGAAAATTAAGTGGCTGTAGACCTCTGATGAGGAAGGAGATTGTGTAAGTATAGGACTTGCTGATGTTGGTGTGAAGTATTTTGCAGGCAGCTGAGACAGCTGTAAGCTAGTAGAATCATACA